GAAATGGCAGGAAACAAATACGAACCTATAAAGAATTTGGTGGAAGATCCTCCAAGCGAGGCCGAAGATAACCGCTAAGTGACTCCATGATGTATCTATGCACAAAACTGATACAAGACATTAGGAAATTGGCATTTCGGAAGTAGAATAATCAATTTTATAGTATGGAAATAAGACAGCTAGTTCGCGCCAATTTCAAGCTATCGTAAATGACATTCGTTAATAATTAATTCATCGATATCATTGTACTTAGCAAGAATAGGTATTTTATTACGGATATCACTATACAATAATGTAATATATAGTCTTATATATCGAGTTAAGATAAATTATACTTTTTACAGACGTCAGTCGTACCAAAATCTATTTTCTCTCCTTGCAAAACTTTCTTTAGTCGCTTACGGCCACGTTTGAGCACTTCACACGTATGTATCTCACGAGAAAAGATTCATCTTTTTCTTGTCTACTACCCCTTTTCGACGAGCCTCTAATTTCTGCAGTTTCGACTTCTCTTGCTTGCTCGAAGTTTTTTTCGAGTCATTGGACACGCTTCGTCGTACGCTCGAGGGCACATAACTATCGTCGAACTTCATTAATTTGCTCGGGAATTTGAAGTCAGGCTCATACTCTTCTATAGAGGGGTTGAGACCCTTGGAATTAGGCACGTACTCTTCGAAAACGCTGTCGGGTATCTCTGTGGTGGCGCATGGCTCGTAAATCTCGTAATTTGTCTCCAGTTTCTTAACGGAGTTCGGTACGTAACTCACGTTTTCTGCGACGAGGCTTTTACCTTCGCACAGAGTCGGCGTGTATTCGTTCAACGTTAATCGCATATTCTCCAATGCGCTTTTCCGACTGGGAATGTATTTGAAGTCCGAACACGATTTCTTTGTCTTCGGTGCGTCCGGGATGTATTCCTCCAACGGCGCGTTCTCTAAATCTTCGAAGAGCGTGTATGTCGAACACTTTTTCCTCTTCAGGTCTTTCTGCTCCTTCACGGTAACGCTCGGAGTCTCAGTCTTTTTCAGGGTAGTCTGCACCAATTTCTTCGATGTCTTCTTCAATCGATCGATTTTTGTCAACGTTTGAATGGGAGATTTTTCTTGTTTCATTCGTTTCGTTGTGTCCTTCGTTTTCACTTTACTCTTCTTCAAAGTCTTTTCACCAAGTTCTCGCTTCACCGGTTTCTTCCGGGCTGGTGACACGTGTACCTTGATCGTGAGTAAAGACGGCATGCCACTTGTGTTTTCTGGATGTTCGAAAGTGTACCTGTTAAACGAAATTCGCGAGTTATTATTATTATTATTATATACATATTCGTATATATATATGTATAAATTCCTGATTGCGATAGAATAACGATTCGTAATCTTACAGAATATTGTTTTTATATGTAACAAACTCAACTTATCATCGACTTTTAAGAAATGCATACCTATTTTTAATATTAAACTGTTATAAAAATGTTTTATTCAGACAAGATACACATCATGAATATAAGATTGAATTCTGATTAACTTAATTAATGACGTTATTCAACTGGCAGAATTATTTCCAATGAGTTTTTAATTCACTGTTATCTCCATCTTTTTTCCCACGCGCTAAACAATAAAAACAATTAACAATCCTATCCTATAATCAATCAAACATAGGTCATCATTCGATAAATTAATCATCGATAAAGTATGGATGTAACTAGGATTTTATTTGTCTGGGGAAAGACCAAATCAGAGTTGAGACTTTTGAACCTGGAAAGGATAAGTATGTGGACTATTGGATTGTTTGTTTTATATTATTTTTAATTAATTACTAGCAAGTAAATCGCGAAGCACACATATTTAATTTATTAATTTACTTTATTTTTCTCAAAAAAGTAAGCTGAATTCTCCAACTTAAAAAACTTAAATTTATAATAGTTATTATTATAGTCGTCTTGGATTTTTTTTAATCTTTCAATTCTGTCTTCTTTTTCAAAATTAATTTGTGAATATTCATTAAGCATTAGAAGAAAATAAACAGTAAGTTGAATTTAAATTAAAATTAAACTTACATTTTTTGTTGGAATCAGGCCTTAATTGATCCAATCAATTCGCTAAAAAAAGTCAATCGAAAGTTCTTGAATGACAATAAAAATGATTGCATTCTTACGTGACTTCCAACTGACGAGTCAACTTTCTCCATTCGCATCCCCGTTCTTCACGATGCGATCCATCATCCTGGCGGCCGTTTCGCAGAACCGCTCGCTCCAATATCTTATAGAGAGCCGCCCAGTCCTCAACTTGCAGCCACTTGTTCGTGATGACCTTCTGATTCTTGATCTCCACCGTTCTTTCCTGTACGGTGACCACGGCAGTCGCCAGGCAATCGTCCGAGACCTGCGAACACGTTGCGATACCGATATAAGCAATAAGCTCTATACAAATCGCTGCGTGTTCGTTCCAGAAAATTAATGAGACGTTCTGTTAACTCGCGATGATTAAAACGAGCGAATTGTGATGACACTATCTCCTATCTTCGATCGTTCAAAGGGTGAATCGTACGTTCTATCGTTCACTTATTATAGGCAATATTTCACGACGGTTTGGAGAAAAGGAGACGAGAGGAAAATCACTCCTGGTCTGTTTTCTGTTCCTGCACTAGACTGCACTAGAAGTCTCTTTCTCGCTTTTAACAAATATCAAATATATACCTATTTCACTTTAAGTTCCAAAAGTATACACTAGTTCAGTCACAGAAAACAGACCTCATATCGCCCGGTTTTCGCAACAGATGTTTAACAGACGCGCGCGCGCGCGGCGCGCTTGACAACCAGCTGTTGTCAGCTGTTGCACGCGATACCTTGATCACCTCCAGATACTGGCCGTCCCGGAACATGTTCGCGCTCGACACGCTCGGATCCGGAGCGTTACGCCTCCACCGCCTCACGTGGTGGTCGACCGCGCGATGTAGTAATCAAGGTTGTCTCCCACGGCCGACGACGAGCTGTTGAGCTGACGTCCATGGTGGAAGAAAACAGGCGAGTCGATGCGCGTAACGGCAATATGGAGCAATCAGCTAGCCAATCAAATTTGGGTCCTAAATAGTAGCGCAATATTCAAATACAACATTGATAAAGTGTAAATTAAATCATTCAAAGACATTTCCTCTTCCAACTAAAGTAGTGTTTATTTAATTTTCCCTCAAAACGTTATACAAAACATTATCACAAAATTGCGTTACTTTACTCAATTTAAGTGTTACCATAAAAAAAAAGAATTAACCGTATAAAATGAAAAAATTTAATTTAAATAGAAAAATTTTTCATGTAAAAACACTTGGCGCTACTAGTAATAATAACATGGTAGTAT